TGAGATGGCAATGTACGATTCATGAACATCATGTTCTGGCCACTCTATCAAACCAGCATGTTTCACCAGATATCCACGTTTGTCTTCATTTGCCTTCCGTAAGCAAAAATCTCTGATAACATCATGCAATTTCACCTCGTCTTCCCCATCACCCGGTTGCAATAAATAACAGCTTTTTAGATTAAGGGCAATTGAATATGCTCGATCTCTAGTTTCTTCAAGTGTGTCAGTATTTGGAAACAACTCTAGCCCCCTTGCATATGTAACCAAATTTTCAATTGGAATGCTTTCATCTTCAGCGAATAGAGAACAGAGCAAAAGCAAGTCCCGGTCTTCATCACTTTCCAACTCTTTGTAGCTCAATTCTATTCTTGAGTACATGAAATTGTGCCCATCCAGATTGGTCACATTAGACTTCTGTAGCTGTTGAAGTGCATCTCTCCATTTACGTATGCCCTTGTTTTTCAGTGCTTTCCCAACAACCTCTAGCGCAAGAGGTAGACATCCACATTCATCTGCAACGTTTTTGGCTATGATTACGAGTTGGTCATCAGTTTCACCATCAGAAATCCCCGCCGTATCCTTGAAAAGTTGCCATCCTTCTTTTTCATCCAAAACTTTGATTTCGAATTTTCGGGGTTTCATTTTACTACACGTTTCTTCAATTCGCGTTGTAAAGATAATTTTCAACCCTTTGTGACCGTGTGGAGATGGAATTCCTATAGTTTCCAAATCAATATCTTTCCACACATCGTCTAATACTACAAGAATGCTTTTACCATCTTTGTCTTCAAGGATTTGATGAAGTCGTCTGGCTCTCATTTCATCTGTCTTTTCTTCAATTTTTAGATGAAGCTTTTCCACTAGTTCGTCCCGAATTTTGTTTATGTCTGGATCGTTAGATACAACTACAAATGCAACCTCCTCAAATAATTTCTCATCTTTGACTTCATTGAATATTTTCTTTGCCATTGTTGTCTTACCAACTCCAGGCATGCCACATATCCCAATTATGCTG